TGCATTTTGATGAAGTTCAGCTGGCAGAACAACTGGGCTTTTTGCAAGCTGCCTGTGATGTGTGGATAAGGGGCAAGCAGTGGATGCCACTACCTTGACTTCAGCAAGTCTTTTGGCACCATCTTATTATTTCTGCCTGTATTGTGTAGTGAAAAATGAAGGAGAACATTCTTGGAATTTAAACATTGTGTGAAACCTCTTTGAAATGCGTGTACCACATAGAGAATAGTGGAGAGGCAATCCACATTTGGATGGAAGAGGCAGTCTAAAGAAGTACAACCATGACTTACTACATAACACGTCCAAGGCCAGATGCTTTCCAGTGCTTTCCAGAGGAAAAGAGGTTTGGACTGGTATGAGGAGCTGAGGTGCCATTAGACAGGACTGCCATGAGACCGGGAAGGGGGAGCTAAGGGCTGTGCATAGAGGACCCATCGCCCCCACGAGCCAGTCTCCTTTCCAAGGACAGAAAGAGCCTTAGCCCTCCTTTGCTGCCAGCTGTATCCTTCCTTTCTCCACCTCTAATTTTACAATGCATAGAAGGCATAAAATGCTATTTTTAGTTACCTGGTTGCAATCCTGGCCATAATTCCTTATAATTTTATAGCAGGTGAGGACCTGAACCAACCTAAATCCATTAGGTGATTAATCTCTCTTCCATTTTAAATAGTTCAACAAACTCTCTTGTTTTTGCTTGGTTGCTTGATACCCTGCCATGCAGGGACTTCCTGGCGCTTGTGAGGTTTTAACAATGGGCTCCATTGTCCGAAAATGACTAGGTGCATCTATCTCTCTGTAGATTTAGCCTTATTTCTGTATCCAACCTGAAAATCTAGAGAGGAACTGTGACAAACAAAAGATCTTGGATGTGTGGTAAGCTGCTTCTCTTTGACAGAAAGTGAGTGCATTTCTCTAATGGGGTATATTTAGGTTTAAAACTAGTGTTACAATAAAAATCCACAAACTGAAAAACAGATGCAGAAATGTTCATCGGTCAAAGTATTTACAACATTGGGGAACTGCTAAAATTTGCCTTAACTAGTTTCACAGATCACAGAATCTGTAAGGTTGGAAGGGGCCTCTAGAGATCATCTAGTCCAACCTTCCTGCCCAAGCAGGGACACCCAGAGCACGGGGCACAGGGTGGCATCCAGGCGGGTTTTGAAGACCTCCAGAGTAGGAGACTCCACAACCTCCCTGGGCAGCCTGTTCCACTGCTCT